AAAATTTGTGGTGTTTCTTTTAGAGAGAAAAGGTTTTCTCCAGGCTGCTACTTACCCTCTAAATTCATACGGAAACAGTAAGTTTTTCAAAGGACTGCATGGAAAAATGTTCTCATTTACATGACTACATGTTTACCTTCCATGTCACTTGATGTTTGGATCACTTTAGGCACCTAAAGTACTTGTTAATAGTGGAAAGACTCCAGTTTGGGGGATAATATATTTTTTCCAAACAATGAAAAACGTCCTTATATTTAGACATGACAGCAATGGGCTATAAACATGGGTCTTCATTTAGAGCTGCAATCACAAGGTGTTGTGTGATGATTCGAGCGTACCGCCTTGTGATAACCTGACCCAGAGCCGCTGCAAACCGACCAAAGAGATACTGACTACGCAGAGTGAAGCATCTACGTAACAATGCAAGAAAACACAGACATACGAGGAGGGTTATTTGACATGGGAAAGAAATGCAAAGATCACAGCAGCGAACTGCAGGGACTCCGTGTTAACACAATGTTAACTGTGCGTCTATTTAATTGTGTTTTATTTAGAAAAAGTTTTGTGTTGTGCAAACAACACTAGTATAAATATAGGATAAGTAGAACAGCTGCTTTGCTAACTTGCATTATGTAATGACAGGCTAATTAGCTAAACGTTGACGTTGATGCTAGTCAGCCATATGCAGTTATAAATGCTTGATTAAACCGTGCCAGTCTGTTAAAAGAAACCCACTAGATTTATGTCATCTATTTTAGAATCATCACGACTCAATCATTAATCATATCCTGAAACGACGGCCCAAAAAGTGTCTCACTATTTCCCACTATTGCTGACAGTCGTACATCAAAGCAGCGAGTTTCTCTTTGACATCAGTGTAAGCTTTTACACCAAATAACCTCACCGAGTCAACGCTGCAATAACACAGAAGGATCTTACCACAAGTGTTACCATAATGAGAATATGAAACATCCAGTTTTACACTGTTATTATCATTGTAGGTCAAGAGATCTTTAGTTTATAGAGATATTACTCCTGCTTTTTTTTTTAACCATACTATCAGCTGTTTCATGCCATGGTTTCTAATTTTCAGTCCTTTCTGCATTTCATGGTCAGGTGCTCCTTATAAATACCTGTACTTTCATAGTAACCCCTTGCAGCAAGCTTTCCCTGACAAATGTTGGAGGACAGAAGAAAAAAGTCGTAATCTCTCAAGCATTTCTAATGAGTTTTTCTCCTACAATTATTTGATAAGAGCAGACAAGACTTGAGGCAGCATGTATGATACACTAGCTGCTACTGCTGAGGTGAGAGCTCTGCTGATTACACACACAGCCATTTACACACACACACACACACCCAGAGGCTTACAGTCTGTCATCTCAGAGTGCAACAGTCCTAATAATAACACAAGAGGCTGAAGTTATGACCGGCAGGCACACCCGAGTTACCAATCTGGACCTCCTTAATCTGAACACACATAAAAAATATGCCTTATAACCCTTCCATCTCTAATTTTCACCACTACTCGACTTCTCTGCTCAAGCCATAACCACAAGCACCCCTCACACACTTTGTCCTCCAGCTGCTCACGGCACTTTCCAGCTCCCAACTCTTACCACACTGAGTCCCAGTTGTTCCCTCTGCAGGTAAGGCAGGTTCCTGCGCTCCAAGCTGGCCAGGTAATGCTGCAGTCTCGAGTAGGTGTAGGGGTAGCAGTAGGCAAACTGATACACGTCGTCCTCTCGGTCGAAGCAAAAAGCAAAAGACATGACATAGTTGCGTCGGTGGTCAGGGCAGCGGTAGTAGTACACATTTTTGGCAGGAAGCCTTTGCCTGCAACGACAAAAGATAAACCCAATACAGAGAAATCAGAAAGGTCATTTAGAGTGCTGATTTCCTATTTTTTGAATGTTTGTCACACTTAAATATTTCAGATCAGATAGATAACACATGTAAACAAAAACTGCAATTTCTAAATGAAGGTGTGTTTTATTAATAAGTGGAAAAAACCCCAAACCTACATGAGAAAGGGTATTGCCTCCCTAAACTGAATCACTGAGGGTCTACCCTTAACAGCAACAACATTTGCGATAACTGGCAATGAGTCTTTTACGGCATTGTAGAGGAATTTTGTCCCACTCATCTTTGCAGAATTGTTGTAATTCAGCCACATCAGAGGGTTTTTCGAGCATTTACAGCATTTTTAAGGTCATGCCACAGCATCTCAATCAGATTTAGGTCAGGACTTTGACTAGGCCACACTTTCTTAAGCCATTCAGAGGTGGACTTGCAGGTGTGTTTTGGATCATTGACCTGCTACAGAACCCAAGTGCGCCTCAGCTTGAGATCACGAAGCGATGGGCGAACATCTCCTTCCGAATGCTTTGGTAGACGGCAGAATTCATGGTTCCATTTACCACAGCAAGTCTTCCATGTCCCAAGGCAGCAAAACAGCCCCAGAACATCAAACTACCACCACTGTATTTTACAGTGCACTTCTTTAATGTTGTTCTGGGCTCTTTTGTGAGCTCTTGGGGGAGTCGTCGACGTGTTCCTGGAGTAATTTTGGTCAGCCTGCCACTCCTGGGAAGGTTCACCACTGCTCCAAGTTTTCTCCGTAGGTGGAAAATGGCTTTTATTTCTTGATTTAACAGGTCTGCCAGTAATCCAGTGCCAGTGTGTCCAGAGAAACTTTTTTCCAAGAAAGGTGGTTAATCACAGTTAATTCATGACTTAACACAAAACGAAGTAGATCTGGATAAGTTTTCTTTATTAATCAATGAAATCATAATTTAAAGAATGAATTTTGTATTTAGTCAGGTTATCTTTGACTAATATTAAAACTTGTTGGACAATTTGACGCACGTAAGCGTGACAAATATGCTGAACGCTTGGAAATCAGGAAGGGAATAAATACTTTTTCACACCATTGACAGGTTTTCAATCTGAGGTGCTGAAGGTTTAAGACAAGCAAAAATACGAAGAGCACTGAGACCAAAGCACTTTTCCAAGAAAACGGAGACATGTATAGTAATGGATACAGAGCACTTAGAAATCATAATGCAGAAATTGCATCAATGTGCCATCGTGACTACTTCCAGAGAAATAGAGTTCAGCTGGTAAGGAGGAACACAACTAAAGGAATGAGGAGGATATCAGCTGGTAATTATCTGCTTGGAAATGCATTACTTTTCTGTTTTGTTTATGGCGAACTCTAGAATTTTATAATATACAGTAATGTGCAAGAGTCATATCTTTATATTTTTCTAGGAAAATGAGAAATAGGTGCAGCAATTTATTGAAACGTACATGCGTGCATATAGGTCTATATAGGAGTCTAACGAGAACTGTAAACAACAGGAGGCCAATCCATGTATGAGACCGTTCAGTGTGTTTTTCTATCCAGCTATGCTTTAACTGCACTGCCAGTGTCTTTGGAGTAGTTGTGCTGAAAAATGAAGCCGTTGCCAATCAGACTCTTTCCAGATGTCATTGCACGGTGGATCAAAATCTGAGGGTACTTTTCTTGATTTCTTTTTCTATTTGCTGGGTTTCTTTCCTATTTCTGTGACTTTCAGACCCTTTTTATCTGCTGTGGATGGTTTTTTAGGCCTGCCACGTTGTCTTCTGTTGCCCACTTGTCTATTTTCCTCAAATATTTAAGAACACACAGCACATATGAAGACACGGGAGTGGCAAGACTTTTGCATGATACTGTATAATTGAAGCTACATAATTAAGAGCCAACAGTGAAAAAATACAAAGAGAACTGGTTGTGGTAATTAGTTAACACTGTGATTTAATGCAAAATTACATACATAACAAAATGTAACAAAACTCATAGACTTGGTATTCAATAAAAAGCCACCAGCAATATAATGCAAATAAATACAAAGACTGATGAATTATAAACTAACTGGATACATTCGACTATATCTCTCTTTCAGACTTGCTTTAAATCTGCATTCCTGACGTAGCATTTTAAAAGAGGCAAACATAAGCAGATTCTATTCAATTCAATTCAATTCAATTCAATTTTATTTATATAGCGCCAAAATCACAACAAAAGTCGCCTCAAGGCGCTTCATAGATACAGAGAAAAACCCAACAATCATATGACCCCCTATGAGCAAGCACTTTGGCGACAGTGGGAAGGAAAAACTCCCTTTTAACAGGAAGAAACCTCCGGCAGAACCAGGCTCAGGGAGGGGCGGGGCCATCTGCTGCGACCGGTTGGGGTGAGAGAAGGAATTGGTTGGAAAAAATGAAAGAGAAGAGATGAAGGCCTGCATTGGTTCTGTATCAACCAATGCAGGCAAACAAAAAAATGATTTGTGGTAAAATCAGCAGATAAAGATCTTTTAAACTCAAAACAATAATCAGCCTGAGTGACACTTTTATAGCATGAGTATAAAATGAAGGGTAATCATCACCGACGCTCCTGCTAAATTAAGAAAAAATGACATGTGTCAAAAACAAGACAGCTTAATTTTGATGTCGGTTCAGTTGAGAATTTCTACAGATGATGTCTGTGACTTTCAAATGTGGCCAACTCGTGTTCCAACTCTGTAATTAAAATGACTTTCTGTGACCACAAAGGACTAAAACCTTATTGTAATATATCTTTTTTTTTTTTAATTTTTCAATGGTTTATCGGGTTTTTACTTTTTATGTCTCTAGTTATGATTTGAGCTTGTGAGAAACTAGAAGAGCTAGACGGCATTAGAAACATGTAAGCATCTCGTTTGGCCGTTGCGTGTGATACTAAGTGCTGTTGTTTGTGTGTTGTGCTTGTGCACTGTGTATGTTGGGCTTAGAGCTAAATAAAGCTGACTGATCCTGGCACCTTAAGGATGATCGATGGGGTCCGGGACAGCACTGCTGCAGTCCACAAAACTTCTCTGCCTACTCAACATGTTTTCCTTTACCGCTCTTCATCTGTCTGTCTTTGTCTTCCTCTCTTTCTTTTGTTTAGTATTCACTATTAAGACTTGGTGAGGAGAATTTAGCATGCAAGTTTCCCTCTTCATCTCTTCTCTTTCATTTTTTCCATCTTTGTACCCGTCTCACATGTCTTGTCCTGTCACTCACTGACTCTGCCTTGACAGTTTCTGTAAAGACGACCAGGCATGGGGAACAACGGTGCTGCCGTAGGAGCTTTGGCAGAGGCTCTGAGAGTGGAGGATAAAAAGAAGAAAAATATGAGGGCGATGAGTGATTGGTGGGTTTGGGGTAGTGGGAGCTGGGAGAAAGGTGGAATAAGGAGATAAGGAGAAGATGAGAGAGCAGGGTGATGGCAGATCTGAGACTGATACGGCGATATACAGGAAGGGGTGGCGGCTAACAGCGGAGTGGCTGTGAGATGGCAGGGCTGGCTAGTGAGCTAGCGAGTCTGGCAACAGATCAGATGGCGATGCTATCAGGGCTGCGATAGGAACAGGACCTGATAATCAACAAACAGGACAGACTGCTCTGTGCTGACTCTAACAGAAAAGACTTTTCTTTCTGACTCAGGCCTGAAAAGTGAGGGCAGGAAGGACAAACAAGAAATGCACATGTTTGTGCAAACCCCTAATGTACTCGGTTCGGCAAAGTTCCTACACAGAAAGCTACAGTGGACACACATACATGCAACCACTTGAAGATGTCCCTGCAGGTACCTACTGAAACAAAACCAGCTAAATCACTCAGCCTCTTTCAGGCAGAAGGGAGTGAAAGGCAAGGCTGATTATTCCTTCAGAGGAGGAGAAAGGAAAATGTCTCTGCATGCAGCGTCCTCAGCAGAATACAAATGCAGCTAGTGGCTAGCTACACCACACCCACTCTGCCTACTGGAGCAGGCTCGCAGGGTCATGTTACAGCCTTCAAAGCTGGACAAAGGAAAATGGTAAATCTTGAAAAAAACATGGAGAAAAATATACTATTTTACTCCACCACCACCCCCCGAAGGAACCTGATTCGTGCGTGGTAACATGGGCTCGAAGTAATGGCTGGCAAGGACAAACTAGACACACTGACAGACACATGCACACTCGTACAACCCCCTAGTGCCCACACTAGTGCATTAAAGTAGTGCCAGCCCTCCAAGGTGCAGGTTAATTAAAATAAGATGACACCTCACCTCTCCACATATTTCCCCATTTGGCTCTGTCCATTCATGCAATCCCACTTCTTTCTGTTTCTCCTTCTCTCTCTCTCTCTACTGGGCAGCGCGTGACCTTGCCGGAGACTGGAAAAGTCCTGGCTATTGATTTTAATTACTGCTGCTTGTCCCATCACAGCATTATAGTTATAGGCCAGAGAAAATGGCTATGTGACTTGTTATGGAAAAAGACTGCCTGGAAAGCCCGGATTAGCGGCTAAGGACGGAGCTACACCTCCTTTAGATACCACAGTCACACACAAATGTGAAAATGCACAAAATCTTGGGCACATGCACACCGCTGCTCACAGCAGTCCCTTTGGTTTTTTTTATCTGAAAGGTGACTGCTCCTGCTCGGCAGCTGGCAATTTGTTTTATCTAAATGGTACCTCCATGTGCCTCTCCCCTGCCCATCTCTTGACGTGGTACAGTTCCCAAACAGAATTATCACTGCACGGAATGAGGGGGGGAAAAAAATTGAGAAGCTCCCTGCGCATGATAAGGCTCTCACACATAGTTTTACAATTCAGTGATTACAGAGACACAGAAACTCAAACACAAACAAGAATATGCAAAGAGTCACACGGCGAGAAAAACAGCACAAACTCGAACTGCGCGCGAGCTACATCAAGGTCATTCCTTTCGGAGCGAGCTGTGGGACAAGTTAACTTCCAGGGTGTCTCGCGGAATAAAGAGGGACGCGCAGCAAAGGGGAATAGAGAGACTGAAACATTAGACAAAGACAGAAAGTGGATGACAAACAGAGAAGGAGACAAAGTCAGAGAGAAAGGGACAAAAAAGAAAGAGGCAGGAGGAGAATACAAAGGGAGAGGATTTATAGAGCTAGCAGGCAGCCTTTAGCGAGGTGTCACTTTGCTTGCTTTTCTACTTCTGAACCATTGGTAGCTACAAACTCCTGCTCTGATTTTGATGGCGCCGGCGTCTCTCTGAAGTTTTGAGATGAAGGCTTAGAAATTGGTAGCTTTCATACGGGCGACATCTTGTCTATATTTTCAAATCAATCAAGCGTAGAGGACACGCCAATCACTGCTGCTCTGAGCACTCTCACAAAGGCAAAAAAAACATACAGGACAAAACTCACAAGGCCCGGGCACACAAGCACACACTCTCATCCACTCCCCTTTATTTTCTCCATCACTGTTGTCACTTTCAGCTTGTCAAACGTTTATCCTGTCAACTGTTAGGAAGGTTAAATGTCTTCCAATATGCCCGCGCAGCTGTCAAGCTCCACGGATCCCCACCAGCTTATTTAAAGCAAATAGTTAGTCCGT